TATTTCTACTTATATAAAGTACATTTTGAAATTAATTTATTGATAAAAGAAAACTCACGCGTCTTATTCGTTTAAAGCAATGTTATTCTATCATAGTATAAGTTTTATATAATTAAAAATAATAATTATAGTATAAATTGAATTTTTCGTGAGTAATATATTTCTTTTTCTTTGAAATAATTGATAAAAATTACCTGGCATTTCATTTAATAATGAAGTTATTAATCAACATTCAACTATCTGAATTCAGAGACTAATTGAGTGAAAATTGATTTCAATTTTCAAACATTGAATTAGTTTCACTATCCATAAGATAATATTATATGTTTACTGTATAAAATTCTTTATTATTCTGTTAATTCTGTTTAAACAATATTATGATTCACATTGAATTGTAATTAATAAAATATTACATTTTTTTACCTTTTATTAAATTTCCACTAACACATAATGTATTAAGTTGCATGAATAATGTAATTGTAACTGGATGAAGATGACAATCAAACTATAATTATTTTACGATTTTAAGATGTTCGAGGTAAATTTTAAAGTATCCACATAAAAAATTATTTTATTAAAATAGTCGGTAGAATACAGCAAATGAAAATGTATAAATCTGCAATTTGTGTGTTATATATAAAGTTTTAGTTATAAGTAGCATTATAAGACTTCTATTTTAAACTTTACAAAATTCACTGTTATTAAAAGAAATTGATTAATTCGCTATTTAGCTGTCTTTATCTAATTCCATATTTTTTTAGTATTCATTTATAGGAAATTTTGACTGTAATTCGATATTTTCATCTTCCTTTCCTTAAAAATATACGGATACATTTTATATGTGTTTTAATAAAATGTGATTCAATCTATCTTATGCATTGAAATTTCATGGAATAATCATAGTATATAATATTTGATATAAAATCAAGTGGGATATAAAATTATTGAATAATAAAAATGTATTATTTCTTATTAAAATATATTTTAAACATATTCAAAACTTTAATATAGTGGCATTTTATTTTAAAGTCTTGTATGCTTGTATTTTGTTTAATAAAGTAAATGGCAATAAATAATTTATAAATCTAAGAATTAAAATTGAATTCATATTTATAATTACTGTAAATTGAAAATGAATTTTTTTCCAATATAACTGTTTACTAAAAGCTTCGATATTTAATGTTATAAATTGTTAATTTAATCATTGTTTTTCTATTTCCGCAAAAATATTGGTATTTTATGACTAATACAGTTCATCACATTTTATCGTTTTGGTTATATATATATATATATATATATATATATATATATGCACACACTTTTTTAAAGACACTGACACACACGTATCCAAATAATTACACATGTATATATACATATATATATACATTTATATATATACATGTCTATGCACACAGTTATGTATACACAAACATACATACATATGTAAATATATATAAATAATAAAGAATTTTCCCTGAACATAATTCTTTAATATATTTATTTATGTATTATTTATATAATTATAAAAGAATTATCTTCAGGGACAATACTTTATTTGTATGCCTGGAAAATTATTCGCCTAAACTAAATATATTCAAACAAATTATAATTATTAGCTATCTTAGTATATTTATACAGGTCTTGTAAAATGTAAAAATAAGTGCTTGATAATTCCAAAGAAATTAATTTTTTTTCATCATCTTTCAACAAATTCTTGTATCACAACTGTTTTATATTTTGAAATATTAAACTAAATGATAAATTGTAAGAGTTGAAAGTAGATAGGAATATATATCTATATAAATTGAAAAATGTGGTGAACTATACAAATTGTTTTTCCTCCATGGATTCCTTATATTTTTTATATTTGTCATACTATTTTATTTTTCTTACATTAATTTATATACAAAGTTCTATTATGCGTTGTATTCTTACCAAATATTAATATGATATATGAAATAAGGTTATTTAATAAATTGGTGTATCATATATAGTTGAGTTGTACATAAAAATTAATAATTTATCGTAAACTTCCTTGTCAATATAATCAATTATGGTAATAAAATCATTTATTTTATAATAAATTTCCAATAATCGAAACTGTTTAAATTTTGATAAAATTTGTTTTTCAGCAGTTATAATATATTTTAAAAGATGATAGTTTGATATTTCACATTTACCTATGTTACTCTCATAAACTCTCATATCGTAAACTAATAAAAAATAGTTTAAGACATTCGTTGTATTTTTTAAAACAAAAATGTTGTAATTTTTTTTATCTTATCATTAAATTGTCACGGTATAATGTTTTTTGAAGTACAATAACATTACATATGAAGAGAAAGAAATAAGAAGCTTAGATATACATGTATAAATTTGTAGATAAGTATACACATAATTTAACAATCGTTTCATACAATTCATACTAAAACATTTAATAATTTTTTATTATTTAGTACAATATTATTATTTAACTCTTCTTTTTGTAAATTATATCATTCTACGATTTATTATGATCATGTAAATAATAATAATAACAATGATGATGATGAGGATGACGATGTTGATGATCATAATAATAATAATAATAATAATAATAATAAAAATCATAAGTTCTGAAAAAAGAAAAATGTATTGCGATTAAATATTCATTTTCATAGATACTATACGACTTTATAAATTAATCAAATTCAACCGCTATTATAATATATTTAATAATTTACATATAAATTATGTATTTTACTGATAAGCATTAATTTAAGTAGAAATAAAATTGATGTACAAAATACGCTATGAATACATTCTTTTAATGTCATTATAAAACAGCAATATAAAAATATTTGTGAAAGTAACTGTGCGAATTTTTTTAAATTTAAAAAATTCAACTCAAGTGTCTTAAATATATATAACTTTCTACATATTTTAATAGTTTTAATAAATAGTATTAATTAGTTAAACGTTGAAAGTAATTAAAATGGTGCTATTTTTATATTGAAGTATATTTTAATTAACGTAGTCGTAATTTATAAAATTTTCGCTTTGCACTATCATTCAAAATAAATTTTATTTACATTGATTATAAATTCATTATTACAAATGTATTACGTTATTACGTTTTCCTTTTTTTTTTGTATAATCAAATAAAAATATAAATACAAAATACTATTGAAAACAAATAATGGGAACCAAAAAACAAATTTATACATATATATGAAAAACGTAATATTATTTTCAAAATGATTTTAATAAATATACAGAGTAATTCTTTTTTGTAAGAAAAATGGATGATAATTGTTGAAAGAAATAATATACAGTAATATACAATAACAATAATATTACATTAAAATACAATTTATAACAATATACAATACAATAATATACAATACAAACAATAATATACATAATATATATAAAATTAATTCATATTTTTTAATTAATTAATTGACATGCTCAGTTGCATTCTTTTTAACAATATTTATGAATTATAATATTTTGTTACAATTATTCAAAAGATAATTTTTTGTTACGTTTAAATAAGGAATCAAATCTTTCAAAAGTGATCATTTGAAAATGAATTGACATCAAATTGACAGAAGCTTATAAAATAATAATATCACTTATTAAAGATCATTTATTAATTAGAATTTATAATAGATATATAAAAATTTTACTAAATAATACATATTCATATTTAATCTTTTAAGAAAATATTTTGATAATAAATATAAATATTGTGCTCCATGTACAAAATGTAGTGAATTTTATAGAAAAAACCTAATTTTCGTCGCAACAGAAACTCAATATATATTATTTTATTATTTCAGCTGAGTAAATATTTTGGCTTGCATTCATAAAATAGACAGAACTTTAAAATGAATCCAATTTAGGTTACTTTACCGTAATTTAGGTAACTTTGAAAAATTCATTTTTAATGATACGTTTAAATGCATATCTAATATTAAGAAAATTTTCATTCAGGTATAGAATATCCATATATTTTACTACGAAAATTTAAAAACAAAAATATTTTATACATAATTTAATAATAAGATATGGAAATTAGAAATATGCGGCCCAGAATCTAAAGTTTGTTCTCATATATTTACTGATCTATAAATTTATCTTTTAACAATCGTGATTCATATTAATGCATTACACCTGGTTGCTTATCTTATTTTAATTTTATATTAATTTAATACGAAATAAGTCGTCAGAAATAACAAAAATTACCATTATTATTAATTTTAGCAGTTAAATATATTTAAAAATTGGAGGATATATTATTTGATGTATAATATAATACGTCATAGTACATATAAGATTATGAAGGTACACATATTGCTAAATTATAAATTAAATTATAAAATTAATTAGTAAATTTATTCCAGTTTATTCAAATTATTTTTGGATTTTTACATATTTTATGAAATATATAAATATGATAAATGATTTTATTATTACTTTGTTCGTTTGTTTCGTTGTTACTTTGCTTATTATTATACTTGCAAATGAATGTGCGAATAAAAGAAGAATGATTTACTTATGATCAACTTTAATCGGCATTTCTATTACTTAATCTAGGAATACATTTTATTAATTCTGAATATTGATATTATAACGAATAAAATTCTAAAATAATTAATCTACATAAAATCTTATAATTAAAAAGAGATATTTTAATCAAATTGTTGAGAATAACAAGCAAACAAACTTTTAAGTTTTTATTTAAGAAGAAACAATAACTTTTTTATTAACATTACTATCCGTGTACGGTAATTATATATGAACAGTCAAGTAAATATTAACATATGTCATTTCATATTGAAATTTTGAATGTTTTTAAAATTACACGTATTTTATAAAGTGGCATTATTATAAATGTGAAAACAGGTTAAAAATAGTAGAGACAGATTCCCCTGCTACTGTACTTATGTTGTAGCATATCTATATAAAGTATTTGATAATAATTAATTCTCATTATAGTCTAAATATACTTCAAAATGAAGTTCCAAATAGCTATTGTATTGTGTTTATCATTAATTTCTGGTAAAAAATTTTTATTCATAATTTCTTTTTAAAATTTCCATTAAATTTACTCAAGAGAAATTTAAAAATCTAGTAAAAGCTGAAATTAAAAAAAGAAACAATTAAATTTCGCTTCCTTTTTCTTCTAACCCTACTTATATAATTCATCTATGTTTCACACAGCCTAGTTACCAAAGAATTTATTTACTGTAAACTATAAAATTATTATTTTCTATAATATTGATTATGTTTACTTATTTAATAATAAATTTTTTTTTTTTTTTCATTCTAATAAATAAACCCTTGTACATTTCGATTGATTCAATAGTGTGAAACGAACGATAACGATAATGATAACTTTGTATTTTTATGTAAAGAGTAGGAATATACATTCAATAATGAGCCATTTATTATAATTGCAAACTCATTCTTAGTTGTCTTTGGAAAGTATGGAAGGATCATCGGCGGACAAATTGCAGACATTAGAGAATATCCATATATGGCGAGCTTTAGATTTACGGTTCCGAATTTAACTTTTTGTGGTGGTGCGATCATCAGCCATAAGCACATTCTTACGGCGGCTCATTGTCTTTTTAGAGATGAACGACGCTTTCCTTCGATGAGAATCTATTCGGGAGTATCGAGTACACATAGTATCACTGGACCATCGTATGCAATTGATCACGTTATTTTTCATCCTAGTTTCACTGGAGTTGAGACAAATGACGAAATGAATCACCATGATATCTGTGTCGTATGGGTACGCAACTTCCATAGCTGAAATTGAATATTTTTTTCGGGTAAACTTAACAAGATAAAATTAATAGAATGTATTATTCAAATGATTTTGTAATTGAATAATTCATCTATTTTATGTGGATTTATATGGTATTCGAGGTCTTAACATTTTTCGTACTATTTATATATATCGTTTATGGTTTCGATAGATTTAGATGCATTAATTTCATTTAATTCATGAATCTCAAGGCTTTAAAAATTATGAGCTTTAAATGAGTAAATGTTAAATCAGTGAATTATTTGAATGCAATAAAGCACTTATTAAATAATATATTCTTAAACAAAAAAAAAAAAAACTTTTTACAGATAAAAGGCTACATTCAGTTCAATGAATTTCAAAATAAAGTTGATTTACCAATTCAAGATGTTCACCACCTTGATACAGGTGATCTCGCAGGTTGGGGAATGAAATCATTCCCAGTGGAAACGCCTCCTAATCAATTACAAAAAATTAGAGTGACAATTTTCCACAATGATTTTTGTGCCCACATTATTCCAGGCACACTTTTCAGTAATCAATTTTGTGGCTTACACAGTAAAGGAGTCGGACCCTGCTCTGTAAGTTCAATAAAAAATAAACTTTCATTCTCATAATTTTTCCATATAACATATATTAATTATTATTAATAGCTAATATTATTATTATAATAATTTACGTTAAAATCTCGTGCATATTTTAGTTTCATATTTCACATATACTTATTTCACATTTTTTTATATTTTGGATTGAGTAAATTATTAATATAGATATTACGTTGTTTAATGTTACAGGGTGATAGCGGCAGTCCATTGGTTAGCAATGGAAGAGTCGTTGGTATCGTTTCAATTACCATTCCATGTGCTCAAGGCATACCTGATTTATATACCAGAGTTTATTCTTACGTCGATTTCATTAGAAGCGCTATGAGTTTATAATGAAGTTTAGCATAAGTTTAATTTGTTAAATAATGAGATATTATGATAAAGTTGTTTAATATTGTTTAATATTTGGAAACAACTTATAAACCATAATCAGTAATTAATTTGAAGCTATATGGTAAAGTAGAATGTAGTTGTCTTCTGTTATTAAAAATTATATTTAAATGATATAATTTAGTAAATCATATATAGTTAAATTATGCAAAAAAAAATAAATAAATAAGCAAAGCTATATATATATATATATATATATATATATTTGTTTTATTAAAATAAGTTTACATTTACTTGAAAGTTTCATATTCAATACATTTAAAAATGTAAAAATGCTTTGCTCATGTAAATTAACTCTTAACTAATTATTTATTAAATACATTTTTCTTCATTTAATATAATCTTGAAAATATTATTTAAATAATGTATTTTAACAACATTTTTGTTATTATTTATAAAAATACATAAAATTTATACTAAATTTTTCAATATACATTTATATTCGAGTGATGATTTCAAATATTTCTCAATTATTAAAATAATTCATATTTAAATTGTATGTATCATTGTATGTATAAAATAAAATTGTATGTATCATTGTAAATAAAAGCAACTTGAACTAAAATTTGTATTACTAATAGAAATTTGAATCTTTTCTCTTTTTCGAATGCTTTAGCAAATTCAATGAGAATAATACCCTTTTTATCTGTATAATATTTATTATAATTTACTTTACCATTAAATAATATTAATCAAACTAAATATCGTATTTTATATTAAATTCGAACAATATTACTATGCTAGTTAAACAATAAATTATGAAAATATATCTAATTTATAAGAAAATTAATTAAAATATTTTAGTTCTTAAGAGCCTTTATATTGTATTATTAATTGTACTTAAACTATATATTTTATCTATACATCTATTAACATAATAATTATATCTAATTCTAATACTTTACAATAAATAGCTTCTTAAAAATGCTATAAGTAACATACTTATTTATAAAATAAAATTTTGTTATTTGTTATCAAAAGGCTTTACATAATATAAATAATTAATGTTGCTTTGGAGAATAAATGAGTATTTGATAAGTAATATCACTAATATATTACTAATAATAGTTAAATAGATAGTCATAAGAGATAATATAGATCTAGTAACCGTAATAGCCACAATAATTGAGTGAAATTAAATTCTAAATATTATAATTATTTATTATTAATAAGTTACTTTACTATCCAAGAATGATGAATGCTATTATGTTTATTATTAAAATTAATATTCTCTACGCTCTTTTATTATTTATATCTTTGATTTTAGTATATTAACTCAAAACGCTAATAATTTAATATTATTGTGTTATATTAATAATATAATTAACTCTTAACCTTAGTAATTTAATATTATTATCTTTTACTTACAACATATAAACAAAAATAGAAGTCTTGTGAAAGTCTATATTTTTTCATTGCCTAAAGGTTCTTCTAATAAATAATAATATTTTTCTTAAAATCTTTCCATGACAAACAAAATTATGAAACTGTGAAATTGATTTGGTATTAATATAACAATAAGTTGATTATAATATACAATGTAAAATAAAATAAAGATTAAATAAAACTTTAAATTAAATGAAAAATTTAAAAATAACACTCCAATGACGTTAATATCAACTGAAATTGAAATTTTAAAGTTTACGTATAGTTCAATAAAATAAAGCTTTTCAATTATTGAATGTATCTTCGAATTATTATAAATTTAAATCAATTTTAATATTAAAAAATAATAATGATTATAGTATTTTACTTGCTATGTTAATATTTGTTATTAATTTTTGTTTGTTCTCTTTATACAAATAATTTATATAATGAAATTAAGAGTCAATAAGATAATTATTATTCATTAAATAATGAAGTTATATTGTCATTTTATGAATTTAATTTAATTCTAATCAAATACATTCGCAATAAAATACTTATTTAATTCATCCCACGACAGATTCATTACAACATTTGATATTAAGCAATAAAATTAAATTAAATTAAAATTGTAAAGTATAAAATGTGTAAATATGAGAAGTATTCTTCAAATGCTACTAGTTATAATTTCACCAAAAATTTTACTTAGTTTTAACTGTTTTAAGAATATTTGTTTTCGGATACATTATTCTTTATTATTATTTTAAAAGCTCTTGACAACAAATTAAAATTTTTTTAGTCAGTAATTTGTATTTGCAGCGAAATTTTAGCTAGAGTTTAACAAAAAACTACATTTAGATTTTGTTTCTTCAAAATCGAGGAGTTTACATAAAAAAAGAATACGGTGATATTTATCTGACATTACTGATAATTAGCAAAGAAAGTAATTGATCTTGACAAAGGTTATACAAACAAAAACATTTGCATCAATATAAATAAATAGAAATTGAATATTTATTTTCTGCAAAACCATTTGTAGTACAAAATTAACGACTTAATGGTTAATTCCATGGTCAACCAGTGATAGCATTATTTCTTTTTTTTTTTTTTGCATTTTCATATTGATAATAAAATATATGGATGAATTATTGATTTACTTTTGAAGTTTGTACTACTACTTATAATATTGTAAAATACAGAATAATCCTAGCCTTATTAGTAATATTATACTATTATTAAAAAATTGATTCTTATTATTTATTCATTTAATTCAATATAATGTAATAAGAAATTAATAATTTATTTTAAAATATTTGTAACTTTCGTAAGGCTAAATACATTTTGCAACCATCTTTAGATATTTAAGTGATTTTAATTTAACATTATGAAGTAACATAAAGACCTAACATTAACAAACATGAAAATACTATTGTACTGTTAAATACGGCTAATTATATAATGTGATCACATGAAATAGTATTATATAGTAGATTATAATATAAAATGACATATAATACAAAATTGTCTTATTTATTTCATTTATTCAACATAATTTATCATCATATTAAATAATTACTAATTAATTGATATTTCAAAGTTTTATACTTTTTTTCTCTTTAAATAAGTGCAATGAAATGTGACTAATAATATATTTTATTATACACACAGATTTTATTTATATTTGATATGCAAAATAATACTATATATATGTTAATAGGTAACGAACATAATTATAAATCAATGTTTTTGTTTTCTTTAAATAGAATTAGTAATTTATTAATTATGTAAATAATAATCTGAAGTATATTTAGTTAAGCTTAATACAATAAGCTAGTAAAATCTTAAACATGTGATGCGGAACGCCATTTGGAATAATTGTTTAAATATATATATATATATATATATATATATATATATATATTTAAACAATTACAAACAATTTCAAAAATAAATGTTTGTTTCATATAATTAACCCATACTATTTATGTACAAAAAATAGAAAATATCTTATTGGTGAAATTTTCATAATATGTATGTTTAAAGTATAGTAAATAACTTATTAACATTCACTTATTTATTTATATTATTTATAATTTAAATGCTTTTTAGTATTTTATAATTTTAAAAGCATTTCTGCTAAAGTACGGCTTACATCAGCGTATTAATACTGCGTAAATAATATGAATGTATTGTATTATTTATGTGTACATTTCGATTGGAAATGCTTGTTGTACTTTTAATTTCTACGTAAATATAAATGCTAATAGTATTTTATTTCGAATTTACGTATATCTACAAAGTAATAATATACTTTTTATTTTATAAAAAAAATTTAATTAAAGGCCAAATTTCATAAATAATTTTTTTGCACTTTAGAATCGATTTATTACTCCGGCTAAATTTGGATAATTTCGCGTAGAAAAACTTTTTTAACTAAAATTAACAAAGATTAAAAATTATAGAAATGTGAGTATTAGTGGAGAAATCATTAAGAATTGAAATTTAACTTTAGAATCGTTAGGAAATGTGCACTTTTGTTGTTATTACATATATAAATCGTATTATTAAAATCGTTCGATTTTAATTGTTCTTTTGTGTTAAGTTAGGAATATACTTTCTTAACTAATAACCATTTATAGTCCGTAGTACATCATTAAAGAATAATAATCGAAGCTAATTTCATAATAAATTAAATAAATTTAAAATTATAATTTTGGTTGAAATTAATTGTAAATGCCGATATAATATAAATTAAATTAATTTATAGTTTTAACATTGTTTTACGTAATGAATTTTAATAAATTAATTTAATTGTTATTCTAGTTGATACGAAGACTTTGTTTTTATAGTTGCGAATGGTTAAATAATTAATTAGAATGCATTTCTCCCTTATTAAAACCATTATTATATAATTTTTATAAATATATTTAACATTCATGCCTAATAGAATTTCGTTGTTTTGATTTTTTATTCAATTCTTATTTAGAGTATTTTATCTAACTGAATCATATTTTAAATTAATGATATATACGTTTTTCATGTATATACAGAAATATATATATTTACATATGCATATGCTTATGATTTATTTTAAGATGTGAATTGAGTTATATAATAAATAAAAGAACAATTTCTCCTCAATGGCGAGCGTATGATGAAGTATTATTTTCATTACTACCTTTGCTATTATCAAAGTAACAACAACATATACTTTTGCTTGTGATCGATATAGTTGTGCCCTTGTTGTTGTTTTGTTGTTGTTGTTGTTGTTGTTG